TTTAGTTGGACGATCATTTATTTTTCAACAGGACAATGACCCCAAACACACCTCCAGGCTGTGTAAGGGCTATTTGACCAAGAAGGAGAGTGATGGAGTGCTGCGGCAGATGACCTGGCCTCCACAGTCACCGGACCTGAACCCAATCGAGATGGTTTGGGGTGAGCTGGACCGCAGAGTGAAGGCAAAGGGGCCAACAAGTGCTAAACACCTCTGGGAACTCCTTCAAGACTGTTGGAAAACCATTTCAGGTGACTACCTCTTGAAGCTCATGCAGAGAATGCCAAGAGTGTGCAAAGCAGTAATCAGAGCAAAGGGTGGCTATTTTGAAGAAACTAGAATATAAAACATGTTTTCAGCTATTTCACCTTTTTTTGTTAAGTACATAACTCCACATGTGTTCATTCATAGTTTTGATGCCTTCAGTGAGAATCTACAATGTAAATAGTCATGAAAATAAAGAAAACGCATTGAATGAGAAGGTGTGTCCAAACTTTTGGCCTGTACTGTGTATATGTATATATATATATACACATATATATAGATATATATATGTATATGTATATGTATATGTATATATATATGTATATATGTATATATATATATATATATGTCTATATATGTATATAACTAACTACCTGTACTCCATGAATGCCTGGCAATGCCTAGCAGCACAAATGAACCAGCTGCTGATGGATGGGACCCATCCAGAGTGGTTGACCCAAGGACGGACAATCCTGATCATGACAGATCCCCAGAAGGGCTCAGTCCCATCCAGACTTGCCTCTGTAAAACATGGAAGCTCCTGTCAGGCATCATAGCAGCTAAGATGAATAGGCACATGGCCCTATACATGAGCAAGCCCAGAAAGGAATTCATAGTAATACCAGGGGAGCCAAGCACCAGCTACTGGTTGATAGAACAGTCACCCAAGACTGCCAGACCAGGCAGACCAACCTGTGAAGCACCTGGATTGACTACAAGAAAGCCTACGACTCAATGCCACACACATGGATACTGGAATGCTTGTAAATGTACAACATCAACAGGACACTAAGAGCCTTCATCAAGAACTCAATAGGGCTGTGAACTTAATGGGGCTGTGAAAAACGACTCTGGAGACTAACTCAACTCAAGTTACCAAGGTAATGCCCTGTCCCCGCTATTGTTCTGCATAGGCCTGAATCCCCTCAGCCAACTCATCACAAAGAGTGGCCACGGATACTGGTTACGAAGTGGAGCAACCTTCCGTCACCTTCTCTACATGGATGACATCAAGCTGTATGCCAGGAGTGAGCGAACATCAATTTACTGATCTACCTCACCATTATCTACAGCAATGACATCGGAATGTGTGATAAGTGTCGAATGGTGTCCAAGACAGAGAAGACGATCAGAACCAGAGGATTGAACTACCAGAGGGCAGCATTGTAGTTGTTCAGGACAGCTAAAAATACCTTGGGGTCATGCAGGCAAATGGGAACCATGAGGAGGCCGCAAGAAAGTCAGCCACAGCCAAATACCTACAAAGAATAAGGCAGGTCCTGAAAAGTGATCTGAATGTAAAGTACAAGGCCCGAGCCATCAACACATACACATCAGATTCCCTGCTGGTATAATAAGCTGGTCAAATGAGGAGATAGAGACCACTGATATCAAGACAAGGAAGCTTCTCACAATGGAGGGAGGGTTTCATCCCCAGTCCAGCACTCTGAGACTGTAAACACAAGCGTAACGAGGGGGGCAGAGGACTGGTGAGCATCAGAGCCACTGTCCAGGACAAAACAACCAAGATCCAGGAATACGCCAGGAAGATGGCCCCCAAAGATAAGTGAATACATCAGGCAGCAGAAACCAGATTCTGCAGGAGCCGACAAACTGGTGATGGCTAACCACCCTGACATTCAATACGTTTACATGACACTTGAAAAAAAACAAATTATTGCCTTAATCCGACTATAACTGGACAACTGAAGTGCATGTAAACGTGTTACTCCGACTAATATCGGAGTTCTCCAACTCCGATTAAGACACCCAGATAATGCGATTGGAATTAGATTTTCTCCGGTATGTATACGCCATAATCGGAGTTAAACTAGACAATGCATGTACGCATGCTCCACACCCCCTGTGTTGGCGTATGACCCCGGAACAGACAAGACATGCTGTTGTTGTAGCCCTCCAACAGCATACAGCGTTCTTGTCTGCCTCTCGAAATCACCATGACCACGAGGGATAGCATGCACCTTATCTGCACAATCAGTAACACGTACATTACGTACGAGATGAACAAAGCTGTACGATTATCCATCTTGCTGTTGTTCGAAAATGCCGGTCTGCCACCTGACTCCAGTTGTTTATTATTAAGTGACGTGATAGGTCAACCGGAAAGGGGGTCGTATTAACCCGCTGAAACGACGCATATCGCCACCTAGTGTTGAGGAGGAGGACACGTTCCCGTCAGTAATTCGATTTTCTCAGTTGCTTGTAAACTGGGACAAGGACAGAAGTCCGATTAGACGCCAAAATCGAATTCTGAGCATAGCTCGATTAAGCTGTGCATGTAAACGTGCTGAGTGTGTTGATCGACAACGAACAACAGAAGAAGGCAGTGGTAACAGATGTAGCAATCCCAAGTGACAGCAACATCAGGAACAAGGAACACGAGAAGCTCTAAAAATACCAAAGGCTGAAAGAAGAGCTAGAAGAGATGTGGGAGTAAAGGCAACAGTGGTAATCGGAGCACTTGGGGCTGTGACCCCCAAACTGGGAGAGTGGCTCCAGCAGATTCCAGGTACAATATCTGAGGTCTGTGTCCAGAAGAGTGCAGTCCCTGGAACAGCTAAGATACTGCACAGAACCCTCAAACTCCCAGGGGAGGACTGGAGCTTGAGGAAGACACACCACCATCTGCATGGGGGGTTCATGGTATGAATTGTCTCAAAGTGTGTCATTTACTCTTGGATTTTCATTTCTTGCTTAAATTTACTATCATGCATAGGCTTTTGGTGTTTTGCTGTTTATATCATAAAGGATAATATGGATGTAGTGTCTATTCCATCATAGATGTTTAAAAAGACTTGAGTTTGGGTTTATCATTTGTTGCAATATTTGTTACTTAAAACACAAAAGCCGGGGACATATTAATGTTTCCTGCGACATAGCATTTAAACAGAAGAAACAACCATCTCACTAGTGCTTCAAGAAATCCCAGTGGCGGTTTCTTGTCCCTTTATTGCTCATTGTCTGGATTTTTCAATCTGTATGAAATTTGTTTTGTATCTCTTGCAGCTATGAATGCGACTGCAGTGAAACAGGATTCCAGGGTGACTACTGTGAAATCGACATCCCTGAGTGTGCTTCTGATCCCTGTCAGCATGGTGCCTCATGCTTAGAGGGAGTCAAAGGATACAGTTGTCTCTGCTGGCCAGGTACTAAAATACATGATGCACATCAAACATTCTTGTACTAACACGAGGACACACAAGGATTGTGAACAGAGCCCACTGTCAATAGAGCAATTCTAGCTGTACTTTTTTACTAAACCACAATGAGATACACAGGCTTTCCACTGAGATACTAAAAAATCATCTGACCTGCAACTAAGACACATAACAAGTGTACACAGTCTTTTTATTATGCCTCTGTGTAGGCGATAGCCATAGCTTTTTTGGGTCGTTTTTGGGAACATGATATCTTAAGAACACCTTGAGGGCACCTCTTCAAATTTGGCACAGATGATCACCTGAACTTGAACGAGATTAGATTTTGGTGGTTAAGGTCAAGGTCACTGTGGCCTTGGCTGTAAGTCAGGAATTCATATGATAATTGTGACAACATTTCACATAAATGTCTAATAAGCTATAATGATGAAGTGACCACTTTTTAATCCAAAAGGTCAAAGGTCAAATTTACTGTGACATTATAATGTTTACAACAGCACTTTTTTTGCCATAATGTCATATCACAGGAACAGAAGGGGAGAAATTTGGTCAGATAATCAATTGCTGACTCTAATCTTGGTAGCCCACCTTGAAACTGTGCTGATTGTACAGATCTTCTGTGCTGCTGGACTTCATACTATAGCGTAATTGCCTTTCACCAAACTTTGTTTGTGTGTTTGTGGGTATTTATAATTATGTTTGAACCACTTATTCTTTAGCAGGAAGTACTTCTCTTCATCTGTCAGTTGTCAGTTATATTAATTTTTATATCAATGAAAAAAACAAATCTGTGTGACTAAATTCTTACATTTTTACATGTATCTCACCATAGCAAGTTGGAAGTTGACATATTCTTCCATATATTAAGAGGGGAGACTCTTTGGAATCTGGCAATATAAGAACCATGATGGTGGGACATTCTGTCACTTCACAGCTGTCCAAAACATGTGGTTTGTGCCAGGCGGACATGATTGCCAGTATTTTTTCATTATTGCAAGAAATTCCACTGACTCATTCACAAGTCAAAAATGTGTTTAATTTGAAATAAACATGCAATATTTACATCTAAGATCATAGAAAAATAGTCAACCAAGTGCAATGATGTCCTCCAAGATAATATTTGCCACTTTGTTTCCAGTAAACAAAGTTTGTTGTTGTTTCTCAGTTTCACTTATATACTGGGGGGACATTTTGGGCATTGGGGGGGACACGTGTCCCCCTCAATATATATGGTGACTACGGCCCTGTCAGCATGCATAATTAGGCTGCAGTTGTCTGGGTGCGCAAAGGTGAAGTGGCTGGTCTTGTCATACAAAGTTTGATGGAGTGTCAACTGGACAATATGGAGATATTTGCATCTTGAAAGCTGGACTACAAATGTGGATAGACAGGGAGAAACACACGCAAGCCTAAGACGTGGTAAGATACGATATTCCTCACTATATGAAGTGACTGATAACAAGATCTGTATAATGGGTTGTAAAGAAATTCATCAGGTTTTTATTTTGTAGACAATTGATCTGTATTTATAGCGTGATGGGATGACAGCACAATGATGTGTGTGGTATCCTCGGAAAGCTCTGGTCCTGCACTTTCATATGATATGTGTGGCATTTCTGTTCGACCCTGCATTCGTGAGTAATCCATCTAAGAATAATGTGTGTGCAAAGCTGTATGAAAGCTGCGTCGATCAAATAAGAGTACCAGAATTTTCTTTTTTAAATAATTGTTATTATAGAGAAGAGAGAGTCACTCAATCACCTTCCATTGGTCCTCCCACTTACTTTCACCGCACAAATGAAATGGTTTATTTTTATTTTCATTTTATTCATTCATTTAGGTCGGGAAAAAATACCGAGGTCATGACCTCTGTGTCCTCAATGGTAGTTACAGCCTTGGTTCTGTTATGCTCTGAGAGATAATCAATGGGGACACATGGAACTGCATTTATTCACTCTAACAGTACAAACTAGTGATTTGCTGAGTCTATTTAAAGCGAAAACCCTCAAAACCGCTTACAAGAAAACAATATTTTTACTTTTACTGATTATTTACAGTAATATGTTGTCTTTAAGAATCAACAAGACATATGAGTCTGGAATCATGTTATCAGTACTGTTTGTCTTCATGCATGCTAACACACTTACAGTTATAATGTTAAGAATGTTGTTGGGAACATAAATTAGACATCACACGGAGGCACCAGTTATGTTGGGAACAACAATATTAGGCCTCACCAAGGGGACATCATTGATGTTGGCTATCAGAAATGATTAATAATTATTAATAATAATTAATAATTATGTTAAATAATGTGACTTAATTAACAATAAATCACCTCGTGGGGCACCATTCCCTTAATGGGAATAATGATAGCCAGTTAAAAATATCAGTCTCATAAAATACGCTAAACTATTCATTTGGAATTTTAATTAATAATTAAATAATAACCACAACCAAAATTAACAGTAACGCCTGAAGGATTTCAGAGTTCTTGACGCAGTAGAGGTTGACTATTCATTCACCCTTCTGCAACATTAAACAGACAGCAGACCCAAAGAATTACATTTACTCATAAAGTAGCAAAGCAAAACCAAACACACAAATTCTAACTAAGAAACTATATACAACCTTGGTGTGTATATGTGTGTCTGTGTGAGATAGAGAGATAGAGTGAGAGAGAGAGAGAGAGAGAGAGAGAAAAGCGAAGCCAGCTAATCAATGACCTAACTGCAAACTATCACAACAATAACTCAATGACAGCAAATCACATACAACAAGTTAAACAGTCTTGCTTAGCCTGTAAAGCTGCGATAAACTATGCCCAGTTGTTACGTTACCGATCCTTGAATGGATGGAAGAAAGAGTCGCTTTGGTGGTGTACTGCTTTGTTAGCTGGCAGAGGAAGGCGGGAAAGAGCTGTGGTTCCAGATGCAGTCTTTGTTGTGTCCTTTGTTCCAAAGGTGAAACTCCGAGGAAGCTGGTCGCTCAGGATCTTTGCAGAGTTAGACGCTGTGTGCTTACTCAATTTGGTTCTCATTGTTGCTAGAAAGTAGTTGCAAACCTTGTGCTTGCAAATCTAACTTCTCTGGTTCAGGTTTAGAGAGTCTGTGATCAATTGCCCCACCTTTGATGGTTCAGGGCAAGGAGCAAGGGTCTGAGCATCTGCGCTGGTCCAGGCCCAGCCAAAAACAGATGTGAGCTGCTCGGCAGCTCCCGTGTAAGAACAAGACTGTCTGAAGGGAGCAGACCTTCACAGATGCCTGTGACATCACAGAGTCACATGTCACTGTAAAAGTCCTGTCCAATCAAATTTTGAGACTTGTGTCTCACTGAGGTGTGAGGTGGGACATCCCGGAGATGGGTGTCAAATAGCTCTCTTTGTTTGAAGAACACAGAGCATGCGGAGAAGAAAAGCCTTTACATGTCCAGTTTAGATTTTAACAAATGACAAATCATCTGTGGTCCTGTGAATCCCAACAATGTTAATACTGAACAGGTGATATTTAGTGTTTTAGCATGCTAATATTTGCTAATTAGCACTAAACCGAAAGTACAGCTGAGACTCATGGCTCATAGCTTTCATTATTTTTGCAGGTAATTGGTCATAAACCGAAGTATTGGACAAACTAAAATTTTGACCTAATGATGGCGCTAAATGAAAAGTCAGATTAACATTAAAGTTGACAACACATCCTGAATGGGACATAGATGTCTCTACCAAAATTCATGGTAATCCACCAAATAGTTAGTGAGATGTTTCAGTCTGGACCACAGTGGTGGACTAACTGACCTTGCCAATATGTTAGCATGGCTATAAACAAACACAGCATAATGTAACAGCTATATGATCAGAGTTATAAATTCAGTAACAAATGAATGAAAATTCTCAGATTCATCTTTTTTTTATTTCAAATGTCAGAAATGGATGAACTGGTGGCTGGAATGGAAGAAAGCTACTTTGGTGATATCATTAATATGCCTTTCCAATGTAAGTGAGGAATTGAAGGTTTATTTTGGTACTTAGTTTATTGGTAATGTGTCCCAGCTTGCAAAATACTCTTTCTTACAGTCTGTGTCTGATCTAAGCAGACATATGTGGAACACTTCACATGTGGTACTTTCAGTTTGAATATACAAGATCAAACTACATTTTCTGTTTTCTTTTCTCTAGGTTATGAAGGACCAAACTGTGAAATTGATAAAGATGAGTGTGCCGAGCAGCCCTGTGAGAATGGTGGGGAGTGTTTTGAGCGTTCAGATCCGTCTCACTGGGAGCTGGACTGGGAGCTCAGCTTTGCAGATGCAGCCGGATATATCTGCCAGTGTCAGCCAGGGTTTGCAGGCCAGTAGAAGAGGCAATTAGTTAATATCTCAGTTCTAACACCTTTTTCAATCATCTGACAATCATTTCATGTCTTTCACGTTACAGGAGAGAACTGCTCTGTCAATATTAATGAATGTGAGTCTGAACCATGCCAGAATGGAGGCACTTGTGAGGATAAGATCAACGGCTACACCTGTACATGCTCAGTTGGATTTCTAGGTGAGTCTTGGACCTTGGTAAAAATGAACACAATTATCTGCATGTTAAATTTATGAAAGAACATTTAACATCTTCTGATATTTACCAAACAACAAAAGTTGTGAATTACACTAAAAACAAACCAAGAAAATAGATTGGAAACTATCAAATTAGTTCATAGTTAATGGACCAACGTCAGATAAGATGACAATGACAAACTTAACACTTGTTTTACTATCTGAAAACCAGTTGATCTGCTAATGGGAAACTCATGCTGTGCAGCCAAACACAATCTCTGTGAACTTTCAAATTCTTGTGGGGATTGCAAAGGAGCCAGAGATCACTCCACAGTTATGGGATGGCCTTCTCTACCACCTCAGCTACCCCCTGTTATGTAATCACAATGCAGGAGTGTGTAGAAACACGTTACAAGTAACTCACATAAGTAAAAAGGTTGTTTTTCTAGGGAACGACTACTTTCCTTTTTTTCCCAAATATATCTCTAATCTTTACGCAAATACATTTTAAAGGTAGGGTCTTGAGGATTTTGCAGTTGCTGTTTGTAAACACACATTCAAATTTGGCCCCTCCTATCAGGCTCAGCTCTCCCGGGTGTACAGAGCCCGGAGGTATGGAAGAAGGCTTCACAGAAGAGGTTCAGGCAAGGCTCGCGCTGGTGCACGCTCGAACACGCTCGGGCACGGCACCTGCGCTTTCTCATTGGCTGGGGAAATCTCCGCCCAGAAGTGGTCCGAGCTCACAAAAACATCAAAATACAGTTAAAGCGCAGGAGCTCTGCAAACAGAGTCACCACCACACATGAGTAGAAGCCCATAGGTGATGTTTAAGCACGATTTCATTTGTATATGTCTATATTTTATTTTGTTTGAAAATCCTCCAGATCCTACCTTTAAGCCAGTAATCTACTTTTTACATTGCAGTATTTGCCATTTATACATTTGTTACAACTGGTAGATTAACTAATGGGTGCGTTTATAAATCCAATCTGATGCTCTTCACTTAAATGAGAGTGCTTTTGTTCAAAGAAATAGAGCATTCAATTTCTATATGAATTATTGGTTAAATCACGTTGCATTATATTCCATCAGTGCTCCAAATTCTGGTCTAGTAAGTGCCAGAGTGTGCTCATTACATTAACAGTTGTCGTTACAAATTTTGCACTGTAAAGACGGAAAATATTTCCACAAACAACATTTAAGTTAAATTATGAATTGTTGTCAGAAGGGGACTGAGTGAAGAAAATAAGCCTGGATACTTCACTGCAAACCTCCTGATGTGCTCATATGACATCAGCTGATGTTGCAACGTGATCAAGGGGTTAACTTATCTATTAACAGACTCTGAGTCCACTGGCTGCACAATAAATGTAAACATGCAGATATATGTGCATGGTACAAGTAGCTGGCCTGCAGTACATTTGTTACTCATGTAATGTAACTTATGTCACATATCTCACTGGACATGCCTCACTAGCTTAGTATGCTACCCATACTAACACACATGAACAGCAGCCTCCCCACTGAAAGTCTGGAGTTTGTTTGACCCATCAGCCTCCTCTCCCTCCCACACACCCTTACGGACCTTCTCTCTTTATACTATGCCATCAGCTCAGAGCGCCAAAAAATGACGCCTTCTGGTGCATCTCGTATCGCCACACAGGGGTGCTTTGGTGCATCGGTAGTGTCTGATGACGAGGGCCAGTGCCTACCTGGCACTAGGTACCAAGTGTTGTAGCGTTATTTTTTGCATTATTCACTGGCCTACACATCCTAAAAAATATTAAAATGGAAAGTAACTTGTGCTTTGAGTAATTTCATAACCAGGTACTCCTCTACTTGTACTCAAGGAGGTTTCACAAATAATAATTTTCACTTTTACTTTAGTCAATTTTTATGAGAGTAATTGTACTTTTATTTGAGTGCTGACTTTCAGGGCTCTACCCACCACTGTCACAGTGCGCCCAGTTCAAGTCCAGTTGGGGTCCTTTGTTGCTGAAATATGCAGCAAATTAAAAAGTGCTGTATTTGTTGCAAGTAGAGTATAAGGTGTGTTGTATGATTACAGTTTCTATTTTACTGTACTATTTTAGGTTATTATTATTATTATCATTTTGCTTATTTATTTGTTTTACTTCATGTTGGGATGGGAGGGCGGGTTGGGGGTATTTGATCTGTAGTTTAGTAAGTTTGGTTGACACCTTCATTGTTGCATCAGTTGTATAAATTACACTGCTAAATGACGTTTATGTGTCACTTTCTGTGGGAAGATTAAAATAAAAATAAAAGAAGATCAGAAATAAAATGTCCAAAAAATGCTTACTGGAGCGTACTAGTTTTTAAAAGACATCCAGTTAAGGTACACAGAAAAAGGAAGAACACCAAATGTATATTAATCCACTGCTGAAAATAGTCTCAAATGCACTGTTTTCGTCTGTTTGAGTGACTTTTAATAAAAACTACAATGACCAGCAGTTTTAGGAAATAAATGATTAGTTTTGTTAAATTGATTGTTTGAAATTCAATTTAATACCATATATTTATGAGGCTTTTTAAATGTTCCTTTTGAAGACTTACATCTTCAGCTGAGAGCCACAGACAGGGCAGGGAAGTCACATGGGATTTGTTGACAAGAAGAAAAATATGGGGGGAAAATATCAACATTATCCTTCCCTTTCCAGTTCATCTCTGATACCTTCCAGCAGTCTGCCACCATCATATTTAACCCTTGGTGTTGCCTTCCTCCAGGTGAGCTATGTGAAGTGAACATCAATGAATGTGAGAGTCAGCCCTGTCAGAATGGTGGCTGGTGTGAAGACGGCAGGGCATCCTACACCTGCCACTGTCCTGAGGTGGAGCCAGGTGAACTTCCTTGGGGAGGTGATCGCTGTGATGTGAAGCTCTACGGCTGTGTGGATCATGAATGCCAGAATGGAGCCACCTGCCACCCGTGGCTGGAGGATGGAGAACACAGTCACACATGCTTGTGCCCTCATGGCTTCTATGACGAGCAGTGCTCCACGAGAACAACATTCTCCTTCTCCACTCCTGGATTCATTCACATCCAAGTTCTTCTGGAAGAAAGGACCCGGAGGGAAGTTGAGCACCCTGTGCACCACGGTTTTGGGGTACAGCTACGCTTCCGCACAACTTTACCCAATATGTTGCTCTTCTACAGAGGGGATGTGGACAATAACCTCATCTTGGAGATTGTGAACGGTGGTCTTCATGCAAAAGCCTTTTCTGAGGAGTCTGAACTGGATGTAACATTTCCGGGTTTGGTTAGTGATGGAGACTGGCGGGATGCACATGTGTTTGTAAATAATGAAGGCCTGGTTTTGATTCTGAAAGGCCCTGGCTGTGACAGGGATGGATGCAGAGTTACAGATGGTGGTGCTGATGAACCACCTTTCCAGCCCACTGAAGCCTTCACTCAGGTTTATGTAGGTGGAGCACCAGAAGAACTTTTAGAGTACTCTTTAAGTGGTGCAGGCTTCATTGGATGTATGGAAGACCTGATGATCGACTCTAAGCTGATCCTACCACAAACACTTCCAGAGGATCAAGGCCATGGGCTGGGATGCAGTAAGACTGAATGGTGTAATCCTGGCCCCTGCCATGGACACGGACGCTGTGTGGACCTGTGGACCAGCTATCAGTGTGACTGCTACCGTCCCTTTCACAGTGAGAGCTGCTCTGAAGGTACGCACTTTTACCACCAGCAAGTTAGAAAAGCTTTAACCACAGTGTGAACATACTCTGTTACAAGTCAAATTACTACATTTAAAATATTACCTAAATACAGAAGTTTTACAAGAAACAGCGCTGCCACTGCGTACACGCTCATCACACACTGTGTGTAGGGCATCAAGTGCTGAAGGGGGCATCAAAAGAACTGATCATCCTCAATAATAATAAAAATGATGACCTTTTAAATTTAAAATAAAGCACAACTACAGTAGGAACCATGAGACCATTATAGGTAATATGATAAATGTAATTGCTCTGAAGGCCCAGACACACCAAACTGATTAGCAGTGACAAAAGCCAATGTTGCGTCACCTCATTTCTCTGTTTTTCTCGGCCAAAAAGTTGCACATGAACACAAAGCAAAGACTACAACCAATGGCCAACCAGCACCACGTTCTGCGCCTGTGTGGGAGAAAATAATTCCCCACAACAGCAGATAGTGGTTTTCCATTTGACTGTTTTGATGCTAGTTAGCCAGTTAGCCCATTAACAACACAATCCAGAGTTGAAAGAACAGAGCATATTTACGGTGCGCCAGTGAACAGTAACACAAACTATCAGGAAACATTTATGCTAAAGAGCTCAAGCTCAATGGATAAAGTAAAATAATCTGACCTTTGTTTTGGTCTCACTGCCTCTTGACTTCAACCCTTTGTTTACTTTCCTCACTTCAGTTTCTCTTCTTCTGCGCCGAGCTGAACTGACAATCTGAATGATTTCATTCATCAACTGGCTCAGTCTTCACTGTCACTGACGCTATAGCTATTGGCAATGCCAATTCAACATACTGAATCAGACACAAAGCAGACGGCTCTAGCATGTGCTTTAAGTATCAAAAGTTAAAGTGCTCATCATAATGCAGAGTGGACCTGGTCACCGTTATATTCTACAACCCACACTGCACTCTGAAGACAATGAATACAGGTGCATGGACAGTGACTTCAGGCGTCAGACACTGATGGACACGTCGGCATGATACGTGGCCGGTCACCTTTATTGTGTAACGACTTTCAGTGGGAGGCTGGTATTTGCTTCACATGTGATTGTAAAGCCAAAACCCCAACCATGTGCGTTTGTTAGCTAAACGTAACCATGTGTGTTTGTTGTTGTTGAAGGTAAAAAACATCAATTTGCGGTGTTGTACTGACATAGTGCATTTATTTTAAAAGAGACTGTATGCAAACTGTACATTTTCTGTGAAAACAGAAGAACAGACGATGCATGTCACAGGCTAAAGTTGACACACGTCCCAGAACATCAACAACCAACACACCCAGGGTAACTTGCACGTCATATCTCAACGCAGAGAGTCAATGACCAAACGTTGGTATGTGACAAGGTCGGAAACAAGATCGGTTTGTTGTCTTGTATGCCTTTGGTTTGTTAGTAAAGCATTAAGGTTCCATGTCCACCACAGTGTTTTTTCCTAGCTGAGAACGCCAGGCCCTCCTTAGGAAACACCCAGGTGGTAGTGTTTGAGAGTGCTTTGGAGGCCTGGCATTTTTTCAGTTCAGACACTTTACGTCTGGTTGCTATGATCCACAGAGTATTTGCATTAGATGAGGAGAAGGCTGAAGAGAGGGAGAGAGAACGGACCATGTGGGTCTGTGTGGGTTCATGCGAGGAAATAAAATGTACGTACAGTAAATGAACAGATCTCTCCTCCATTGTTGTTGCTCAGCACTTGTACATTTAAGATGAGACAGTTTTATCTTTGTGGTATATGTCCCTCCTCCACTGTGACTGAATAGCTGATGGTGACGAGCTCAGTGTTTTAACACAAAGTAGAACATTTTTTGACTCTCGGCACTCAAAAGAAAAATGTCCAACCTGCAGCGCTCAGCACAAAATTCACATCTCACACCACATTGCGCTGGTAGTGTTTGTAGTGCAGGGTAAACACGCAGCACTCCCACTGCAAAGTATTAAAAATATTATCTATCAATCAATCAATCAATTTTATTTATAAAGCCCAGTATCACAAATCACAATTTGCCTCACAGGGCTTTACAGCATACAACATCCCTCTGTCCTTATGACCCTCACAGCTGATCAGGAAAAACTCCCCAAAAAAACCCTTTAAGGGGGAAAAAAATGGTAGAAACCTCAGGAAGAGCAACTGAGGAGGGATCCCTCTTCCAGGACGGACAGACGTGCAATAGATGTCGTACAGAACAGATCAGCATAATAAATTAACAGTAATCCGTATGACACAATGAGACAGAGAGAGAGA